AACATTGTAGAAATGATAAACATATATGCTGAGATTTAAATTTAAAATGCATAGGTAAGTAGATAAACTTTGCTAGAACCGGCTATAATCCTTGGTGCGAGTAAATCATATATTTCTTTGCTTGAAAATCTTTGCTTGAAAAAACAGAGTAAATCATATATTTCTTTGAAGAGATGTTGTTGGAGGGTGGGTGAGGTGGAGGGCCATATACTGTCGCACCATTGACTCGTGCTGCATGCGATCCATTCTTTGTTTTTATCAGGACTTGAAGCAAAAACGTGAGAAGAAAATAGGTGCAGATTGTCGCACCTAGGTCTATTTTTGTTAATTTTTTAATCTTTAATTTGATCGATGAAAGAGATCATCAAATTCTAATGTAATCAGCCACGAACTCTGTCCATCAATATGATCTATTTTAATATTAAAAAAAATCTATTTAATAACAAGAATTTAAATAAACTTTTAAATAAAAAATAAAATTTATTTTTTTAAGCACCCTAAGAACTGAAATTTTGACAAAACAAGATAACATAGGTTAACTTGAGATTTTTTTTCATAAAAATATTGGGTGCTTGTTCGCCTAATTTTATTTTTTTAAAAAAATAAAAATATAAATTGACACGAACATTTTTAATTTAGCTAAATATTGGCATCTTTCTTTTTTTTTAATATAATTTTGTCTTTTTAAAAAAAGTAAATACTTTTTTATATATGTTTGATAAATAAATTTATAGTTTATATTTAAATTAATACCACTTCTCTCTCTGATTTCTTATTTTTTCTATTTATCATGCCTTAAATAGTTGTTGTTTTTTAATTATTTTATATATTTTTTAATTTTTTAAGATATTATTATAATTTATCTATAATATTTTTATGTATTATATAATTGAGATTTAGTTTTAAAAATAATAAATATTTATTTTTGAATAGTATTTCTAATAAGTACAACTTTATAAGATATTTTTTATTTTAATTTTATTCAATTAATATTATATATGCATTGATTAAATAAAAAATATATATTAATTAACAGAGTCATTCAATGCAATCAAGTAAATGATCTTTATTGCTAGATTAAGTATCTTGATTTATATTTATCTCTGTTGTTGATTTTTTTTTATTGATTGATATAAATGGCTCTTGTTTTTTTTATTATTTGTATACATAAATTTTTTTTATTTGTATTTAATTTTTTATTTAAAAACATGTTGGAAAAACTTATTTGTTTAATTTATTTTTTGAAAAAAAATATCCAACTCGTAAGTGTCACATTTGAAATAGCTAGTAAACTTGATAAAACATATGTGAAGATCAATTAAAACATTAAAGACATTCTAAATAAATAACTTAATATCTTTTGTTTTTTAAAAAAAAATTATCGTTGAACGAAAATAGCATAGGATAGTGATTTTTTTTAAAAAAATAGCATTTTTTAAAAATATAATAGAGCTCAAAAAATATATATTTTTTTAAAATAGCATAGGATAATGAGCTACGTTGTTCTAAGCAATGCAGCCAATATTGTTTTTGGTTTAATTTAGAAATTGTATTGTAAATAAATCCTAACATTCTTGAACGAAACATATTATCCCACATCAAAACAAACGAAGTTGTATGAATTTTGATAACAATGATTAAAATACATTATCGATCCCACACGGAACACATTTGTTATGTTTGGTAAATATATTTTTAAGATATCATTTGATTTTAGTGATTAAAACTAATCCTTTAATTTTTTTTTAATTTCATTCAACATGTATGAATTGCTCATTGTACCGATTATTTGAATATTATTTTCCTTATTATTTTATTATCTAAAAAAATTAGATATTAAAAATTTTGTTTTTTTTTAATCTAAAAATTCGAAGTTATACGTGTAAAAACAAAAGGCAGAAACACACTGTACCGATTATTTGTCTTTTGAGGACTTGAAGCAAACAGAAACACACTGTCCCACATTGAGCAATAATTGTGAAGCATCTTCTTTAAAAAATGGAATCCAATGGTGATATTGCTAAAGCATTGCTCCTTTTCTTTATACAGCAGGACTCGAGCGAAACGGTTAGCTAAGCTTTTTTCTCGGACAAAAATGCCCTTGAACAAAGAGGAAAATATTGTCCCACATACATCAAAGCAAGACAGATATCTCACGAAGGCAATAAATATTGTTTTATCTTTCGGTTCTACGACAGATGAATCATGACCGTGTGATCCTAGCTTGCTTGATTGTGACCGTGGAGGATAGTTAACCATGGTTCTTCCTGCGGTTGTCTGACAGGCCACCACTCCCACGAAGCCTGTTATTAGAGCTACAACGGCAAATCCCAAGTTCTTTCTTTCTTTTTTTCCCCTATAGTTTCAGTACACAGCAAGATAGCTTCTGTAGCGATTGGCTTCCTGTTATACCATGAGCACTCCCAGGCAGAAGTAGTTGTTCTTGGGGGTCATTTTCACTTCTCTTCGATAGTTGTCGGTCTATTCCTTTGAATACCAAATCGGCGGCAACGAAAACTGGGTTGTCCCTCCTGCCATTGATACCAGAATCTACGTTGACTGGGCCTTAGGGAACCGATTCCATGTTGGTGATACAGCTCGTGAGTTCACACACAAAGAGATATGAGATCTACCTTTTCCTTCAATTTCCTGGGTGTTCATCTGTTTTTGGCGCAGGTTTCAAGTAAAGGAAGGATTCCGTCATGAAGGTCGGGGTAGAGGATTGCAAGAAGTGCCGCTCCCGTCACCCCAACTTCTTTCCCAACACTGTTTACCATCTTAATTATCCAGCGTCTTCCTACTTCATAAGGGGGGTTTCTGGACACTTCGAGAAGGGACAAAGGATGATCATCATTAAGCTTATCTCAACTGATCAAGAGACTAATTCAAGTCTGCAGCTTTTCCTTCTGCAGGAGTGCTAGTGATTCGGTGCCTGGAAAGTGCTCTTATCTCAGCTTGTTTCATTCTAACAAAATACCACCGCTAAAGCACCGCAGCCGCTCAGGGTCTTCCTCGTACCTTCATATGACTCTCCCCTTGGATACTACAAGGGTTCGAAGCAAAAAGACGAACAGAGCGTTTTCCTTGGGATAAAAACACCGTACCACATCGAAAAAGAGTGTAGAACCAACATAGTTAATAAATTGTTCGAGGACCTCGTAACAGCTCGACCTTACTTGAACAGGATCTGTTCTATATAGGATCGTACCTCTGTATCTTTAATCTCCAAGGAGACAGGAATCATGACCGCGTGATCATAGCGTGAGTAATGGCTTGATGGCCCACGTGATCATCTTGGCTGTAGAGGATCGTTTCCTAGCCATTAACGTAGCTGGGAATGATCACGCGGTTGTCTGACAGGCTCTGCTTTTCCGTTTTTGAAACTTCATGCAGTTTCATCAGGAACTAATCTAGTTAAAATTCATGGTATGGGATCCACACTCATGCATGAATATTTAATTATTAATTTTTTAAATTTTATTCTTATTAAATTTTATAGTTTTTTATAGTTTATTTTATATAAAAATATCTTCTCATAACACAAGTTATATATTTAACAAATTAATTTAAGTTGATTTATATTTTTATATTTTTTAATATTAAAATAGTTAAAAATTATATTTTCTATTTTTTTATAATATTACCCCATTTTTATATTTAAGTTGCAGATTTAATAAATTAAACTGGGTTAATTTTAAATTTTTTAAAGTAATTTTTTTTAATTTTATTTTTTAATATTAAATTAATTCAAAATTCAACTTTATAATTTATTCTAATTTATTTTTATAAAATTAACATGGTTTTATAGCTGGAATTGTATATTTAATTAATCAATTTAATAAATCATCATCTTAATATTATTTTTTTAAGTATTTCTTTAAAATATTAAAATTTCACTATTTAAAAAATATATAATTCCTTTTTATTTCAATACACTAATCAAGATCGCCTAGATAGACATCTAGTTTCAGTTAACACACACATTAATTTGAAGATACCCTTATCCCCTCATATGGTTGGAAAAATAAAATCTTAGAGCTTTTATTAGGGAAAAAAAAAAAGGTGGTTAAACTATCCCCATTATAATTTTATTGAATGAGGGTAACATTTGTCCCACCATCCATTTATTTTTACATCTAAGTCTTATAGATATAAAGTTTATTGTTATTCTACAAATCATATAACTCTCATCACCTACCTTACTCAACTTATTACATGAGAAAACACCGCATTAATACTCAATCTAATTACAGTAAAATCAATCAACAGCCATCATTGTTCTTGTCTCATCCAAGCCAATAAAACCGCCCAAAACGATGGCGTTTTTACATTTCTCACACACTTCCCGATCTCCTTGGATGGTCCATTGCTATGCAAGCCATGGGGACCCAATCCTTACAAAAGTCCACACGTATTGCAACCCTACCCCTAATTTCATTTCTACTTGCTTTCTTTCTGAAAATCTACAAATCAATCCCTATACTATATAAATTGTTTTCATTAAATCCCCTAAAAGTTACAAAAAAAAAAAAACAAGAGTTTGAAAGTTGAAACCATCAAACCTTACTCAACATTAACCTCTTCCCTGTGCTCGCAAATATGCAGCCCAAGGAACCCATGCTAGTACCATTTCTCGTGTATATTAAAACCCAATTATTGTTGTAAAAGCTACTAATGAGATTTTAGACACTTCCATGATTTTATAAGATTTGCTTTCTATTTTTCTTGTTTAAAATTGTGTTCATGCCTTTTATTAGAAAAAAATACAGATAATTGGTTATTGAAATCCTTTTTTCCCTATTTTCTAGGTTTATTAGCATATCAGTGTGGAAAATTAGTTCAATTATTTAACTAATGAATTACTTTATGTTTCTCATAGATAATTTATAGTCAATTTTATGTTTCTCATGAGATATTAATCCATTCAAGACCTTAAATACCGATATGTAAAGTTATTTATAATTGATGGACTGATTTGCAGTTTCTATGAATTCTATAACAAACTTTTATTCATTTCTTCGGTTAGAGATTCCCATTGAGAGTCCTTCACATTGATTGAACCTCACGGCTTGCCATCATCTCTCGTTTGTGAGTGTGGATTTGCATTTTGCATTGATTGATGATTTGATTACCTATCGGTCTCAAACTCTCTCACCCTCATCCACTCGTGAGTTTTGGCTCCCTTCTCTTTCGTGGGTTGTTCGCTTTTTGTTGAGTTCTTTTGCGTTAGCTTTCTTTCTTTAATATTCTCAAACACCCCATTTGCCCATTTGCCCTGTCATCTACTTGGCCTCTCTTTTGTTTCCTTAGATACCCATTTGGCCATTGGCTCTTGATCTATAAAGGGTGGTCTGTGGTTTTTCAATAATATATGAATGCTGGTAAGCTTTCTCTTTATTGGCTTTGTTTTTTTTGTAATGTAGGATTTGATTCTTATATATATAATGCATGATTTGATTTGTCGATTAATTGGTATGAGTTTTCTCGCAATTTTGTGACATGGGTGGTTGCATTTTTATTTTTCTTATATGATGCAAAGTGGGCTTAAATGTTGGATTTTTTATGTCAATGGATGCTGTGATTTGATGTCATTTGCTGTATGATATACAAGGATGTCTTACACTTCGTTTTGTTTTGTCTTAATTTGGTTGCTGATGTATTTCGGTAACACGAGGAAGCTTGAAAAGCTTGGATTCAAATAAATTTCTGATTTTGTGGACCTGTGTTGATGGTTTATAGGTGATTCTTCTTACTTAACTGGAGGTTTTTTCTTTTAATCGTTACGAGGACTAATAGTAGCTCTTGAGAATTAAAATTTCTATGGCAATTTGCTTATGTCTTTACATGAAGCTAAACATGTTTGTTTATTTGTTCATTGGTTTGCTATTAGAAAATGCGGTACTCTGCGTGTAGAAAATGGCAATGAAATTTCGATTACATTTGTAGCTTCGCTCCCTTTCCTTTTATGGAAAATGCATAAACTATGTCAGATTATTTTGCTTCCTTTCTTTTGATTGGAAAATACAGACTAAAACTGGTTTGTTTTTGCATCATGGTATCCTTTTATTTTGGCCCCAACTTCTTGTTCATTTCTGTCAGGGAAGAAATGATAGGGCAATATTAGAACGGAAGAAAGTAGTAGAAGATAGCAAAGAGAAGATCTGCTGATCAAAAGGATTGTCTGTATATGGCTATGTCTACAGAGACAGCTATGGCTATCAAGTCTTACCAGAATCAGGCTGAGGCATTAGTTAAGAATTACTTATTAGCAGATCCTTTCATTCCTTACACTTCCGTCCTTGGTGGCATTTTTGCTTGCAAAGTGGTAATTGTCTTGCCCTTTAGATCAGTTTTGAACTTGAGAGTTGTTGCCTGACCAGCACTAGTATTTTCATTTTAGATTCAATACCTCTTTACGATGATAGAGTAATTCCAATACATTAAGCTTTCTTGGACCTTAAGTGGGTTTTGTTTTGTTACCTTTTGCATTTATGTCTGCAGGCCTATGATCTCACTCAATTAATCAGCACTTTTTACATCAAAACTTATAATAGTCTTACAAAAATTCAACGAATTGAGTGGAACAATCGGTGAGTGCATGTTCCAATATTACCACCCTGTCATCTATTTTAAATGTACTGACAATCAGTTACCTAAATTTGGCAGAGGTATGTCTACAATTCATGCTGTTTTCATCACGGCTATGTCACTGTACTTTGTCTTCTGGTCAGATCTCTTTTCTGACCAACAGCATACTGGCATTGTTACATTAAGAAGTTCACAATTCTCCATTGTTGGACTTGGGGTAAGTTCTTTTTTAGCTCTGCTTTGGTGATATTTAATGACATCAAATCTCTGGTCGATTCCCTTGATTTCAAATCTTTCTTTCTTTCTTCTTCTTCCTCCTTTTTTTTTTCCTGAGATGATCTCTAATATTGTGGGATCGGAAAGCAGTTCTCTGAGTGTGAACAACTCAATTATTAGTGCAATATTTTTGCCTTAGGTGTTAACCTCATATCCCATGTGTTAGCTGTTGGTATTGGTACCCACAAAGTTTAGTGTAACTTCTCATATGTAAAATCCACTGATTCAGATTGAACTAGTAGTATGCAGAGTTGTATTAGTAATCCTTCTTGGCCAGATAAGGTATCTGTCCCTAATTACATGTGGGAGTTTTCTTAATTTCATGAGAGAGTTTTCTTTTTCGTTGGAAAATTGACACACTATTGTCAACAGGCTGACTCAGGTATTCTGCCTATTTAGCTATTATCTTTGCATTTATCATATCTCTGAATATTTTTCCGGCCTTCCTGGATATTATACTTCTCTATTTATTTGTTCCCTGTATTAGTCGTGACATTAATATAGTTTTTTTGACAGGTTTCTGTTGGATACTTCTTTGCAGACCTTGGAATGATTTTTTTGTACTATCCTACTTTGGGTGGAAAGGAGTATGTGAGTGCATTTAACGTGATGGAGACAAATTGAACCTTTTTCTTTCTCTGTTATCTTAAAAAATGAGAATTCGTCCCAATACAACTGTTTTCATGTGCATGTTTTTCTTCTTTCTGTGTGCATTTAGATTAACTTCCCCCTGCACTACTTTGTGATATAGATATTTTTGTTTCATTTGGATTTTTTCTCTAGATTCATCTTGCATGACGGAGTTTTCCTCACAAGGAAGTGAGGTGTCTGACCTTTCATTTCACTTTTGATTTTCTTGGCCTCTTAGCATCCATCCCAGAATCCCTGATTCATTGATCTGTAAACAAATTCAGGATACTGTTTTCTGTATGTTAAGAGTGTTGAATCAGCACAATTGATTAAGAAGAGAGGACAGATGACATCTTACAGCACTGCAGATTATATGAACAAAGTTGAACACAAATTATCTCTCGAATGAGAACTTGCAATATAGTGTTTGCAGTAAAAGTTCTGACTTTGAAGGAATGCCATTGCAACTCACAACTGGTCACATTTGGTTTCAGGTTATCCATCATTCTCTTTCTACAATTGCAGTAGCATATTCTATGTTGTCTGGAGAAATGCAGCTTTATACATACATGTGCCTGATCTCCGAAGTGACAACTCCAGAGATTAATATGAGATGGTAGGTTTTGTGATGAGGTCAATTCTTGATAAGCTCCATCTTTTTTCGTAATGCTAACCTTTTTTTTTTTGCCTCTGTGTAGGTATCTTGATACAGCTGGTCTGAAGAGGTCTGCTGCATATCTTATTAATGGTCTAGCAATCTTTCTTGCTTGGCTGGTGGGTTCTTGAATATCTAGTGATTGTTGCTTCCTTTGCTAATTGTTGCACATTGATATCCATGACAATAAAAATGTCTATATGTACATGTTTGCACAAACTAATCTAGATCATTTATCATGGATGACCTTATTGCCAAAAATTAAACCATGTGGTTACTTATGATACTTCCAAGATTTGAATAAGCTGGCCCAGGTTTCTTGCCTCTTGTTGGCCACTTAGTGGCAAGAACAAGATCTCGCTTACATTCAATAATACAACAGAACTACTCTTTCCTTGATTTATTATTATTGATATCTTCTGAAGCAAACACTGGAATGCAGATGGCAAGAATTCTGCTGTTTCTTTACATGTTTCACCACATCTACTTGCACTATGATCAGGTAATGCCCTCTTTCATAAATATTTGTATCTTATATGCAGTAGACTTGTGCAAATTAAAAATGTTTGTTATCTGCAATTATTCGATTGATTTCAGTAAATGATTCAAATATGCAAGAATGTTGATAGTTTTTTCATTAGAGATCCACTTAAATGCTAAAGAGAGGAAGATAGGTGGAAATGAACAAAATTTGGAAATAGCACGAGTGTCATATCAAAATTTAGAAACCTGTTCCTCTGTTTTATCTGTGTCAGAACAAGGTAAGCATGTTCTTAAACTACCTCATTTTGCTGCCTGCTTTTGTTTTATTGTTTAAGTACGAAATAATGATTCCTCAAATAACTATTTTAGTACAAAGCTTCCTCTTCTTCTTGTTTGTATGCACCCACTTTATTTTATTTTCAATTTCATGCACAATTATTTGGCTCAGTGCAACGCGTTGTGTATTTCTTGTTCAAAATAATTCTTGACATAACGTAAAATTTTGTATGATTCTCCCTTTTCTTTTCATTTTGGTTCCAACTATGTTTAGTTATCCTATCTTGTTTTTTCATCAATGATTTTCTAACTTCCCGCGTTTCCTAACTATGTTTGCTTATGTTATCATGTTTTTTCCCTGATGATTTCCTAACGTCCTAATTTTGAATGATTTTCTCTTTTATTTTCATTTTGGTTCCAACCATAATTTAGTTATGTTATCGTCTTTTTTTGTCAATGATTTCCCAACTTCCCAAGTTTCGCCTGAAATATTACATGATCATGGTACAGAGTATGAGTTTGATATGTATAGCAAGTCATGAGTCACGATGACAGCTACTTGATTCATTGACAGGTTATCCAGATGAGCCTCTTTGGCTGCCTTCTGGTCTTTTTGGTTCCAGCAGTATTATTTATCATGAACTTGATGTGGTTTGGGAAGATCATCAAGGGATTGAAGAAAACCTTGGCAAAAAGACAGTGAGAGATCACATAATACCAGTTTGATCAAATCTGTGTCTCTATACCCGGTCTAATGTTCCTTTTTTATCTTTTTTACTTTCTTTACTGTATAGGATAGAGGGCTAAAACCAAAAGAAAAGGTGATCAGATTTTGGAAATCAATTATTGTATATGATTTGCGAGGATCTTGCACACATCGATCCTTAAATCTACAACTAGCGCATGATGTTCCTTTCAAGCAGTTCTACACACTACAGCACTTTGCTTCCTTTTTTCTTTTTTCTTTTTCTAAAAGCAAAACTCCTAAATTTACCTTTAAGTTTGTGTCATTTATTCATTTTTATGTTTGTATTTTTATTTCGATTAATTAATCCTTGTATTCTTCGATTTTGTTTAATTGACCTTTGTGATTTTTAAATTAGTCAAATTAACACAATAACTTAGTTATATCAAGTCTTGATTTTACTATGCATGGAGACATGATATTATTAAATATTTTTTATTTATAAGATTAATTTTTAGGTCTATATCACTAAATAAATTCTCCTAGAAAAATAAATTGATAAGTTTGCAAGGAAAAATAAATCCAAGATAATTTATATAGTAATGTGTCCCAACATAAATATATATATATATATAAAAAAAACATATCATAATAAAAAATTATTTAATTTTCATATTATTAGCATGCATAATTAACAAAAAGACTTGATTAAAGCTAGTTTTTGGGTTAATTAAACACATTGAAAGAACGTCAGAGATTGTTGAATGGAATGCTACATTGAAAGAACTTCAGGGTAAGGCCAGGCATGAGAAGAGCTAAGAAATGAGTAATGCCCCATGATAAATTGGAAAGTTATTAGACAGGTCACATGACGTGTATTATGAGTTAAATCTAAGTTAACATCCAGTCAATGTTATTTAAAAGAAGTTAAAAAAATTTTGACCGGGTCATCATGGACTGTTAGGTTGACTAAATTATACTAGCTTAATTTTCACTTAATTTAATTTAAAATTTAATTTAATCAGATTAACTAGAAATCAAATCACTAAATGACCCGTTAAAACATACCAGGTTTAATAATTTTAAAATAATAAGTAATTTCTGAGAAAATTAATCAATATTTTCTTCTAGATTTGTTAGCAAATGCTGGCCATAAGCTACAAGCCGAGGATTATAATTGCTTAAGGGGTTATGATCATATTACTATTTTATATTGGCTAAAAGATAAGGGTGTAGCAATCACTTTGCAATATAATACATTCACATTTTAGTAATCAAATATTCCAATGAAAAATTAATTAAATATTGAGCACACCCTGTTAAGATCCTTCACTCACCAATAATTAAGCATCTCCCTAGACATCACAAAACTTTATTATAAATATATAATGGCGGCTTCTCTTCACTAAGAAAAAAGTTTGCTTATGAAATACACTTGATCGACTGTTCTAAATTAACATAATAATATTAGATCAGTACAACCCGAGTTAAGAAATGTTAACTTTATAATTAGAGATTAATCTCAAAGCCAAATTAATTAGTAATTAATCTCAAAGCTAAGTATCATGACGGCCACTATCTCATAATAAATCCAATTCGCTAGCATGGATTCGATCCCAAAGTGAATTAATTAACCTAAGAACATTGATGCTGCGCAATCATTAATTTTATAGATGTTTTTAATTAATTATAATCACCAAATTAATATTCATAAAAAGACAATATAATTACTATCGATGGCCATTGATTGGATGAAGAAGACACAAGGTCATGGAACAAGTTGGAATTCCACCCAAATATTTGCCATGGAAATATTCCTTATCAATATAAAATATAAGAAATATGAAACTCCAATTTAAGACAGGGTATTTATGGAGTATTTTTATTAATATTAATTATAAATAAAAAAAATTAAAAAATAATAAGATAATTATTTAGTGTTAGAGAATCATCTCAATAAAAAAAACTTAAATTATTATATAAGATTCTAAAAATACTTTTTACACTTATAAATCATTAAAATTACTCTTGACATGAGTTCTCTGCTTCCACACTTGTCATGTATCTCTTAATTAATTAATTAATTAATTAATTAATTTAACAGTTGCCTAATAACAACTTAACTATTTTAATATTAACTTAGATTTGATAAGTTTAATCATTCAAATTAAGGAGCTTCCTCCCAAAAGAGAGAGAAAAAAAATACTGAAAATGCATGCCAATTCATCAAGTACTATAAAATTAATTGTAATTAAGTACTATACAACTTACAATTAATTTTAGTTTTTTCTTAATTAAAAAATGTAATTTATTTTATTTTATTTAGTTCCTTCATCTCTCTCATGCGGCACGCTCACACACCTCCACTGAAAACCCTAGTCTTCTTGGCCATGGAAGTACATCTGTTGGTTTAATTTAGGCTAGACATCAAGAACCATGATTTTGCTTTCCAGATTATAAATAGATACCCCCCCTCAGAAACCTATACCTCCATCTCAAAATACAACCAAGGAGGTAATAATGGCCATAGCACTCAACAAAACCACCACATTTCTTTTCTTTCTCCTAGTCAATAGTCTAGTGTCCTATTCAATCCAGTCCCTAGCAAGTCCAAGAAACCCTAATTCACTCATTCTTGATCTTACCCTAGCTTCTAGGGCTTCCTTTCCAACTTATCCAAAAGCTTCCACTTCTTCAAGAAAGAGTGTCTCAATAGATGTTTTTGGCGCGAAGAAGCCTTCAAGGGAAGTTAGAGATGGGTATTTGATATCTCTAAATATAGGCACACCCCCACAAGTCATTCAAGTGCTCATGGATACCGGCACTGACCTTACTTGGGTTCCTTGTGGAAACCTTTCTTTTGATTGCATGGAATGTGATGATTATAGAAACAATAAGTTGATGGCTACTTTCTCTCCTTCCTATTCTTCTTCATCATATAGGGACTCTTGTGCTAGCCCCTTCTGCATTGATATTCATAGTTCTGATAACCCTTTGGATCCATGCACTGTGGCTGGATGCTCTTTGAGCACACTTGTTAAAGCCACGTGTTCTAGGCCATGCCCTTCATTTGCTCACACATACGGTGCAGAAGGGGTGGTCAATGGGATACTAACTAGGGATACACTCAGGGTTAATGGAAGTAGTCCTGGAGTCACTAAAGAAATTCCAAAATTCTGTTTTGGTTGTGTAGGGTCTGCATATAGGGAGCCTATTGGGATTGCAGGGTTTGGTAGGGGTACACTTTCTCTGGCTTCACAACTAGGGTTTCTTCAGAAGGGCTTCTCACATTGCTTCTTGGCCTTCAAATACGCAAACAATCCTAATATTTCAAGCCCATTAATTATAGGAGATATTGCCCTTACTTCTAAAGATGATATGCAATTCACTCCGATGTTGAATAGTCCCATGTACCCTAATTACTACTACGTTGGTCTAGAGGCCATAACTGTTGGCAATGTTAGTGCAACTGAAGTGCCTTCAAGCTTGAGGGAGTTTGATTCACTGGGTAATGGGGGCATGAAGATTGACTCAGGAACCACTTACACTCACCTACCTGAACCGCTCTATTCTCAGGTTCTCTCTATTCTTCAGTCAGCAATAAATTATCCTAGAGACACTGGCATGGAGATGCAAACCGGGTTTGATCTTTGCTATAAGGTCCCACGTCCAAACAATAACACTCTCACGTCGGGTGATCTCCTTCCTTCAATCACTTTCCATTTCTTGAACAATGTGAGTCTAGTTTTGCCCCAAGGAAATCACTTCTATCCTGTGAGTGCCCCAACTAACTATGCTGTGGTCAAATGCCTCATGTTCCAAAGCATGGATGATGGTGATGATGGACCAGCTGGGGTGTTTGGGAGCTTCCAACAACAAAATGTGGAGGTCGTCTATGACTTAGAGAAAGAGAGAATTGGGTTTCAACCAATGGACTGTGCTTCAGCTGCATCTTCTCAACCACTACACAAGACCTGATGGTAGTTCCTACATTGTCAATGGTGCATGCCGTTGGTTGGTTAATTTTATTCAGCACTTTGCTTTTCCACTTCCTTTTGTTTGTTAACGAATTGGTACTTTGCCAAGTCTTTTGAACTAGATTAATATCATGCTGTAAGGCTCTTTGAACCTTGGAACTGATTAAGAAATGATCATGAGTTGGATATTCTCTCATTGCTAATTGGTCGAAGAAGAACAAAAAGAAGTGGAGAAGCTTTATGAAGCTGTGTTTTCCTTTAAGTAATGGGTATGATGGGAATGCATTTGCAAATTAATTAATGAAGCACGTGAAAGAAGAAAAGAAAAAAAGAAATGAGGAATCTTCAAGTTCCCACTATTTCCCAAAGGCCTCTCCAAAAATGCCTTTTTTAAAATAAATAAAGACTTTATTTTTCTTAAATATTTTTGAATTTTCAAGGATAGTAGATTGTTTTTAAACATGAAAATAACACATCTAAAATCCTCTTAAATCCTTGACGTTTTCTTGCTTCCTAATTCTCCTTTGAATTCTAATTAAGAATCTAAGATCCTCTTGTCTGCAAAAACAAATTGGAGAACTCTCTTTTTTTTTTGTGGTGAAATGTTTTGCAGCTTAAAGACACCACGAGTCATATCTTACGAGAAAACAAAATTTCTGCGTTTTCATATCAAAACAAATGCATGATCAGTGAAGTAGAGTATATCAGAGACCGCTCAAATTTCAATAGATTGTGAAAGATAATGCCACACACCATTTCATTACACGAGAAGCCACTACAATTCCATTTCAGTGGTTGAAAAGGAAGCGTGCATGTACAATTTTTAACAAATTCTTTATGAGGAATACACAGTCGACGAGCTAGAATATCAAAACACAGATATCCGGTGAGCATCACAATAACTGCTAAGAAGACATGCAGACACGCAGCAATATCACTGCCACTAGGTATTTTTATGAGCAGCAAGCTGCACTAGCTGTCCTTTCTGTAGGTCTATCCATGATAACCATTCCAGAAGGGTTTGGCGCTGGCTGTACTTGAGATAGTCTTTTTGCTGCACACGGAATGGTAAGAAAACCAAAATAATCGCCATCAATTTCTTGAAAAAGAGATGGTAAATGTGCATGAACATAAGAACAATTAATTGATCAGTATAATATGTTTGTTGAGTTTTGAGCAAAATATTACCTTTGTACCCAAGATTAATTTCATGTACACATTGGAAAATATTGAACTCACTTTTCAAACAATTTAGTCCTTAACGTTATATTTTGTCAACATATAAATATTTAAACCTTCTATCCACAGTGATAACTTACCTATTTCATAGAAAATGTCATTGACATTGGTTGCAGTTTTCGCTGACGTTTCCATAAAGAAAAGGCCATTCTCCTGAGCATAAACTTGTGCTTCCTGCAATGCATTAATGAATAGTCATAGAGCATCTACAAGATGTTCCTTTAACATAAACAGAAAGCAGCAAAAAAATCACGGAGTACAGTCTAGAGTCTAAACATAGAGATCGCTATTTGATCCTCAATAATTTGAGGATTGCAGATCAGCAGAAGTCTTTAATTATAGGGGAAAATTTAATAGAAAATAGATAATATATAAATAAAGAAAAGACTATCATATGTGCCATTGTCTAACATTTCTTCCTGCATGAAAATAGTTTCTCAAAAACAAATATTTTCTAGCAGATCTCTAAATGAATTTGCCAAGATATTCAATAAATGCTAAGGTATTATTATTGTAAAAGGTGAAACTTATCTAATAAATTATTAAAAGAACTCAATAAAAAAGAGAACTCTTTGTTGCTAACTTTTCCTGTGTCATCTCTACAAAAAGGATCTTTAAGGACTAGTTTACTTTGTTTGTGTCACGTCGTACAAACCAAGTACATAAAACTTTACTCTGATTTCTTCTCAATTTCCTATATCCTTGACAACAAGCTGCTATATTTGTCATGATTGAAAGGACCTACTATAAATATATAAAGCCAACTAGTAAGTGAGCTACTTGCCTCGGCAGCAACCTTCCTTGCATCCAGCAAATCAGCTTTGTTCCCCGCAAGTGCCATAACCATATTTGGGTTGCCTTGTGGAAGCAAGCAGATCATAACGATTAACAAATTCAGGAACCAGGGAAAATGTTAGAAAAAGATAGGCTACAGTTCAAGAAAAACAAGTGTAGTTGAACAGTATACAAGAACAGGACTCAAGAATGACACGTGAAGAAGGCTTTTAAGAACAGCCAAATTCACATTTATACAAGCAAAAATGTAATCACTACCTTGTGCCTGAAGTTCTTGAACCCATTTTTTGGCTCGCTCAAATGAGGCCTACAAGAGAATCAAGAGTTGGAATTCTAGTGACCAAATGAAATCAGCCAATTTAGCAAAACAATTTAAATAAAGTTGCTTTTCAGTAAAAAAATCTTACTAGACCACTCTGCAAACTTTTTAAATTGGTCGAGCAAAAGCACTTTCATGCAATATTGCAATCATTTCTAGATGAAGATCAGTGACTCAGTTTTTTGAGCTTTGGAATACAACTTTTAATGATTCTTTATTTTCTGAAAACAAGCTTTGATATAGAGAAAGAAGAAATAAATGAAAGGGACAGGTATCATTGCAAGGGGAGGGAGAAACAAGTGGAAAATATGGAAGATAAAGATTTTCCAGCCAGTCGGAAAGCAGGGCAGGCCCTGGCACTCAGAGAAGAGGGATATAAAGCACAGGCCATGAAAACAGTATAGGAATAGCATAGATTTGCATACAACACCCAGACAAATTTGAGTTGTATGCCTTAACTGAGATCTGCTAATTCCATATATAATCTTAAGGAAAAACTGAAGATAGAATTATGTGTAACTGGGAGATTACTGAATGGGGCAAGAAAGATATGTCAGCATGAGGTAACCACCAAGGAAAATGCACCAAAACACATGGCATCTGTTAGTCTAGCTCACAGTGAATGATGATATGGTAGCCTTGATATGAAAATTCTTCTCTAAACAAAAAACGTTGAATTTCAAATTGCCACACACTTCCCACTTCTTCCATATCCTTCTACATGATAAATAAGCATTAGACCTGAAGGCTGACACTACAGACTGTTAAAGCCTAAAAGTCTAATGCTTCCTTACCTCTGTATACAATATAAACCTAACCTTAATAACTTTTTGTAAACGTAAGTGTTGGTGTTGCTTAGAGGGAATGGTATATGTTGTGTTAGCAACCTTGCTTACCTGATTAGATATATCATACACAATAATTGCTGCTGCAGCTCCCCTGTAGTACATTGGAGCTAAGCTGTGGTATCTCTCCTGACCTGCTGTGTCCCAAATCTCAAATTTTACAGTTGCATCATTGACAGCCAATGTTTGCGAGAAAAAGGCAGCACCTATGGTTGATTCCTACAATGACATAAAACAAAGCTGAAGCTCCAAATGCAAACAGGACAATTTCAGCTACCAATGTTATAGGCCTCAAAAGTCCTTCAGTACTAACCTGGAACTCAACAAACTGTCCTTTAACAAAACGCAGTACAAGACTGGACTTTCCTGCACCAACATCCCCGAGTAGCACCTGAAGCACAAATCAACCATCAGCCAAATGCTAACAAAAAACAGCAAGAAAAAGTCAAACTGCAGGCATGGAGAAACACGGCCACCTTAAATTTTGCTACAAAAAAGGAAAGGCATGCTACAAATTTTCTATAAGCGAAAATACAAACAAAAATGATAAACAGCACACCCGGGATTCAAAGAGAAATGAACCCATTACAAGTCTCAAATCTCGGACTCATAAAGCAAGGACTAAAGCATATAATATTAGCACATGAAAAATGCTAGATAAGCAATTAATAATAAAACCAGAACCTAATTCAATAATCCTACTCAATTCATCAGACTAAAGACACAATAAATTACCAGAATACAAACAGCAGTTGAAAGTCAAAACACTCTTTCGCAGGTAGTAGATAACATCAAGGCTTAGCTTACTTAAGTTGTTATTAACCTAAAACAGTACCAGGGTGAGCAAAATTTAACAAATTCACACAAGATCCTTGAAGTTTACGGGAAACCCACAATAGACAAAACACAGAAAATATTCAATTAAGATGAGCTAGATCAGTTCTCAAAATTTAAACATAACGCAACAGAATTTGCATAGATTCTGTAAACAAAATACACAAAGATCAATTGCAATCACAAAAACAAAAAAAAAAAGAAGATAAAAATTACATCAGACTTTTCTGAAAATTAAAGAAACCCAGATCAAAATTTCCATAACTAAACAAAACCCACATCAGAAATTGCATAAAAAAGATACCCAACTAACAAAAAATGCAAGCAAAATTTATCAAAATTAAATCAGACCCAGATACCAATTATCCATAAAGAAACAAAAAAAAACTCACCAATTTAGCATTGATATTCTTGTTTGCAGTGGTGGCCATGACGAGTAGCAATCGATGGCTGTAATTTATCAAAAAACAGATCAACAAAATTGAAATATGAATTTGAATTTAATCTCGAGAGAGAGAAAATAAATATTAGGCGTAGAAAACCAAATAAAAAGGGAAGAAGTCAAGATAGAGAAAAAAACAAAGGCAGAAGGAAGGAAAATGAAGGAAAGGAAGGATCCCTCCTGGTAAAAGCTAAGAAAGACCCATAGGTACACGATAGCGATTGTCTGATTTTTTTTTTTTTTAATTAATTGGTTTTTTTAAAAAAATAATTTTTTATTTAAAACTAATTTTTTGTTTTCAAAACCAATACATTAAAATAATAAAAAAAACATTAAAAAAACAAATAAATTTTTAAAAAACATATGAAAACAGAAAATACATGTTTTTATTGTATTAAACTTTAGGTTAAATATTATTTTTTTATGTTGCTGTAACTAAATTTAATTAAATAAAATAAAATTATATTGGATTAAATAAATTTAATTTAATAAATATGTAATTGAATTTAATTAATTGAATTTATACTCTAGAACCTAGTTGAGCTTACCATAAACTTAACTCAGGATGGACCGACCAATTATAGGTGCAACTGATCCAACAGCAGTCCGGTGTCTTGCAGTATTGTTTTGTTCTTTTGAACACTCTTGGTAGGTGTGTTTAGAAGGTTGATGTAACGACAATTTAAAGTATTTTTTATTTAAAATATATTAAAATAATATATATTTTATTTTTAAAAAATTATTCTTGATATTAATATATTAAAATGATCTAAAAATTAAAATAAAAATTAATTTTAAATAAAAAATCCAAATTTAAAAAAAAATGATTTCAATCACATTTTTAAATACAATTAAAAATTATAATGAAATGTTATTGCATGATATATTAACTTGACTCTAATTTACCAATAAATTAATTATGATAAAAGGTAATGTTGGATTACTATCTTGAGATAGAAAAAAATAAAAACAGTAGAAATAGAAATATGTTTGATTAAAAAGATAAAGATATAAAAATAAATTTGTGTTTAGAATAATTTTGAAGTGAATTTATATATTTTCAGAAAATGATGTGTTTGGAAGATATGTCTTCAAAGATGATATTTTTTATTTTTTTTATTTTTAAAATATCATTATAAAAAACTCTAAATTTTAAAACTATCTATTTAAGACATGTAAAAATATAAATAGTTATTATCATGATTTTAAAACTTAACTTGAGGGGTTGATCCAAGACAAAACTTAGGACACTGGTCGAGGCTCAAGTCACGGGTCGAGTTGAACCAGGTCAGTATAAAAATAAAACTAAGTATTATCATATAGTTTTAAACTTGATTCAAGAGTTAATCTAGGGTAAGGTTCGAGTCATAAAAGGGGTTAATTGTTGATTTATGTTAACTCAAGGATAAAAATAATTATTATCATAGTTTTTAAACTCAACTCATGAATCAACTTAGAGTAAGGTTTGGATCATGTGTTAGGAGGGCTAATCCAAGTCAACATAAAATAAAAATCATTATTATTAAAGTTTTTAAACTTGATTCGGAGATCAACCATGAACAAGGTTGGGGTCGCATATTAGGAAGGTCAACTCATTTTAATCGTGGTCAATGTAATGATAAAAGTTGTTATTATTATAGTTTTAAAATTTGACTCAGGAGATCGACTAAGACAAGGTTCAAATCATAGGTCAAGAGGGTCAACTTGTAGATAAAACTAGTTATTATCAAAATTTAAAAATCAAATTCAAGAGTTGACTTGATGCAAGGTTCAGGTCACCAGTTAGGAGGTTCAATCCTATTGACCCAAAAAAATCAAAGCAATCTTGTTTTAACCAATTTTTTTCAAAAAAAATCAACTAGTTTTTCACCCAAATTTTATAGTAGATTGACTTGGGTTTTTGACCGGGTCAAGTTTTGAGTCAAATATTCCTCTTTTTCTTAAATTTGTATCAGTCCAAGTTTCAGGTCTACTATACAAGTAAGTTATGATTTTATAATTAGGATTATTATAATATTATTAATTTCAATACTTAATATAAACTAAAGTAAAAAAAAATATCTAGTTATTTTTTAAAATATATAAGTTTGACAACAAAACATAATATATATATATATATATATATATATATTATGTTTTGTTCACCATAACCAAATCGGATACAAAAACAATTTTTTATCTAGTGCATTATTATCAAACACAATTATTTCTCCATCTTTTTTTCTATCTTATTTTCATTATCTATTATGGGACAACAACTAAACACTAACTAATAGAATTAAAATATTGTTTTTGCTCTTTTCTTTTATTGGACCAAGAAAAATTTAAGCAACAATAACTTTAAATTACCACTATATTAGATAGAACCTATATAATTTATTGTTTTTAACAATTGGTTTAGTTTGGTTTAATAAGATTGTGTGAATTAGTGTTATTAAACCTAACCCATAGTTGATTCAATACCTAACTTGATTTGGGTTTAAAAAAATAGTTAAAAGTTTATCAAGTTAAACTCAAATAAAGTAGTTAAAACTTAGTTTGATTTTAAAAAAGAAATTCAAAACATAAATGTTTTTACTTTGTCTTGTATTAAAGACATTTCAAATTAGCCCTCCAACTTGTAATTTGAATATAATTTATGTTATAGGAATCAATAAGTTTAATAACTTTGGTATGAATAAGTATGAACTCACATTTTGCAAGCTTTTAAAAATTAGAGTAAAAACCTTGGATTAGATATTTTTTTTCTCTAAAAAATAAATACTATATATTGACTTTCTCAATGTGTTTTTATTCATAAAAAAATTTTATAAACCAAAAGGCTCATGCATAAATATAATCAAACAAATCGAGAATTATATGTGTTAATAAACAGATAAAAAAGTCATCAACAATAACTAAAAATAAAATTAAAAAAATCGAGAGACATGTATATAGTAAGATATTTAATTTCATAAAACAATATATTTACCCAATTGTCCTTATTGAACTTATTTGTTAAAATTATTTTTTTATTCAATCAAACGATAATAAAAATAGACATATGTATTAAACTGGTTAAATAAAAAAAAAGGATATTATGCAATGTTGTACATATTAGAAATATTGTTTGAAAATAAATATTTTAATTTTTAAAAATAAATTTGATCTATATAATTTTTTTAAAATTATAGATAAATTAGAATAATCTTTCAAAAACTAAATACACACAACATCATTAAAAACGACATCTTTATATAAAAAAAGAGGTTAAATAAGAAATAAATATCATAAAAGAGAGATATTAATTGAAATATTAATTTAAAAATTATTTAAGAAAAAAATAAAAAAATATATCAATTACATAAATTAATATTACAAAAAATAATAACTCAAATGTTATGGCTTAACTCATCAAATTTATATTATGGATCATGGACTCAATTGCATTGAATAATTTTTGTAATTTATATTTATCATTAAGAAAAAAACAAAAGATGACCTATAAACACATTAGGCTTTTATGCATATGACGTAATGCGAGCGATTGCAAGGAAAAGGCCTATACATGTGGGTAGGCCTTTAAGCCTATGTTTATGCACCTGAGCTTAGTTTTGTTTTTATATATATATTAAAGGGACAAACAACATTTTTTTTAAAAAAAAACATAGATGTTATGTCGCTTGACAAAATAGATGACTTGTTATTTGCGAGCCCAGATTCCAGCCACCGAATGGTGACTAGGAAATTGGGACAATGCCTCTTTTATATATTAAAAAAAACTAATTTTTAAGTTATTTCAACAAAAAATAATTTATCAACACTCTTGTAATACTTATAAATTAACTCATCAACTCAAAATATCTAAAAACAAATTCAAAAACATGAAACCAAACTAAGTTAAAATTATTTTTCTCAGCTTAAATATGTTTTTAGATAATATTGAGGTTTTAAATAATCACTATCAAAACTTTTCTTATTTCATGGAACCTGTGAATACTAAAAAATTCTATTTTGATAACCAGAAATGGCTTGAACAACAACCTTTTCTCTCATAGTTGGAATCCAACAATCTTTCTATCTTCTTTTTTTAATTAGAGATTAAAAGATATTAAAAATAGATTTTTATACTAAAATTATTTTTTTAATATAAAAGGACCTAAATTGTTTAATTTATATTATTTTTAAAGTTTGAGTACCTAAGTGTATTTTAAAAAAAATTAGCACTTCACCCATGTTTGGTATCCTTTTTATTTAGTTCCCTCTACTTTCAATTAAAAACAACTGGTATTTATTAAAATGAAATTACTCAAAATAAAACTTGGAGAATCAAAATAAATTATTAAACAATATAGAGTATATCATAATGTTTTGTAAATACTAGATCAAAGTTGTTGGCTCAACAGTGTTTATCCCGCTCCTTTAGTTTTTTACATAGTAAGTAGAATTTTATCTCATTATTTGCAAATCTGCTTTAATAAGAAAAAGGTAATTACGAAAAAAAGGACGAGAACTACATACATCTTGATCAACAAAGTGGATCATGCCGCAGGGGTACGTGTAAATCAAGTTCGCAAATATTCTCCAGTCAGCCGACTCTTCATGGATCAGAACATAGTAAACCAAACACATTGATTTCTAATCCAGACCTAAAGCCAACAAGAACATGTAGTGCAGGCCTCTCTAATTCTCAAGTCTATTTATTTTCTTTAAACATGGAAGAAGCATAATTGTGCACCAGAAACAATTCACAGCTATAAGAACAAGTAGTGCAGACCATAGGCCTGTTTCTGGACTCCAACAAGTTGACATCACAGATACCCTCAACTCTATGGGGTCTTAAAGATCTTTTGGCTTTAAACTTATCATCTAGCTCTCTCTGGTGGCTCTCTACCACTAGAGGTTGGACAGATGAAGGTCTTGCTTGCATTAGATTTATCAGGAAACAGCTTAACAGGAAACATCCCCAGCACCATTGGAGGCATGCAGAGTTTCCTCAATCTCTCCTTAGCTAACAACAAACTGCAAGGTCAGATTCCAGAAGTATTCGTTGAGTTGAAAAGCTTGGAATCCTAGGATTTATCCTAAATCAATTTTTCCGGTGGGATCCCAACTTCTATGGAAGGACTTC